CTAGCGGCCATCGAGAACAAACTAATCCCCTCCCACACCGCCAATTCTTTCCTTTCCCGATCTTTAAAAACCCTCCTCTTGCTTGTAGCCTCTAACAGCAAAAGATTCCTGGGGGGGAGGAAAAAAGAAATCTATTTCACCTGTAACGTTTCTCGACGTCGGTAAACACAACGTTTCTATAGCCCCGCCATTTTAGCCAACCTCATTCCCATCCCCATAGCCCCTTGCCAGGCAGCATGATGGGAAAGCGAGTCCATCCAGCCTAATGATCTCCCTTCAGGCACTGGGTTGAAACTACAACTCCTAAGAGGCCTCGCGAGAAAGGTTAGCGTTCCAGCATGCACCACACCAAATCCAGCGTTTGAGGTTTGGAGAACTACAGTTCCCAGAAGGCCTTTGTATGAGAACGGAGGAAGAGGCGTGCCCCTAGGGCGATACGTTGTTCTGCGCAGACGCCTGAGCGTTTGCTCTCACGGGTTGTTTTTTTTTGGGGGGGGGGGCTTCATGCAGGAGGTGGCTTTTCCGCATGGGAACAGATGATGCTGATGACAATTGACTGGCCGGATGTAGGGCAGTATAAATTTGGGCGACCGCTGCAATGCGTTATAGAGGGTTCCCCCTCTTCTTAGTGAATCTCCAGATTTTTGCAGACCAACTGTAGTAATCCTAGCTGAACAGGTCACCAAAAAGGAAACAGCTCCACTAGCATGGATATGTCCATTTACGTTACATTTGTACATTTTCTGTCCCTTGGGGAACGATAGTAAAGGCTAAGAACGCCACTAAACACATGAAAAACCGTTTAAGCCATGTAGAAGTTTGATCCCTATCCACTTTGTTTATCAATCCATTCAGCTTTTCTTTGGCTAACAAAATAGCATTTAGTTATCTCACAGCCTTGATGTTTCAACTTCCTCTTTTGATTCTAACTCATGCTATCTTCCTGCCATTCCTTATATTGGATGTATACATAGAATAACCACCCTACGGTCCCTGTCCTAATGTTTCCTTTATTTGTATCTATTTTATGTATTCAATTCATGCTTATACTTATATATATTACCTAATACGTTCTGCATAAAATAAAATAAATGGAAACAATAGGTCCCCTTATCTTACTGTATTTCCTGTTCTGAATCCTTTTATTTATCCAAACTCATTTTTTAAAAGAAACCTCCATTTCAAAAGTTCTTCAAATGAATAATCTGGTTTAGGCACACCCATTAGTTTTACAGTAATATATTCAAAATTGTGGTGTGATGACCTGCACAAAAGCCAATAAAGCAAAGAAAACCATGTATAAGATATTATCAATCTTATATTTGCTGTTTGTTCATGTGCCCTTTTGCCTTTTCTAAAAGGTGTCTGTTCATTTCAAATTTCCCTTTCTATTTTTCTTTGAAACTCTTAAGGAAACTAAGGAATTACTGCAATGGTTTGATGAGCAATTTCTTGTTTGGTGATATAGTGATGGCTCTAACCCAATAACTCACGAGACAGAGTAATGTCTTCTAAGAATTCTTTTATTGCAGGCCTGGATAGTTCCTAGGCCCATTCATCTAACAGCAACTGACCTTTTGTCCTTCTCTTGCAGATACACATCTGGAACTGCTGGATGGTGAGAACTCTTATATCCAGGGGGAGGAGTTAGAGGTAAGGTGGGATTGTGGGAATGATGGGATATGTGGTTATGTTAACCCTTGCAGGACTGTGAAGGGTTGTGATACGAATGGGTTAGACATTTAACTTGACATTTGGTTCTTGGATATTTCATCTATATCTAGTGGTTTATTTGGTAGCTATAAGCTATCTGTTATAACTATCTAGTGGAATCTTCTGCTGAGCATGTTCTTTCTCTGCAAATGAATTTTTGTTGTAAATACTATGTGAACTCTTTTTTCCTTCTCATTTAGGAAAAACCTCTGGGTATCTAACAATATATTTGCTCTAAAATAACAGGCACAATTTCTGCATTTTATTCTCTATGCCATTTCTCTCCTTCCACAGTCCTTGTGTATTTGTTCTTACCAAATGTGTTCTAGACCTAGTGGCAGGGTGGAAAAGAAATTTATTAGATTAACAGAATTATCTTTACATAATATTGAATTTGATCTTTTTTTCCGAGAGAAAATTTCTAACGGCTTCCTTGACATTGGCATTTCCTGATATTTGTCTTCATGGTTCCTAATGCAATGTATGAATTCCAGTTTGACAGTGTGTGACTGATCAGAAATTCTGAAAACTTTAGTCCCTACATTTAGGAGCTACACACAATATACCATAAATGCATATATAGATAGTCCTTGACTTACTCATTTAATGATGATCCAGTGTTTCAATGGCCTTGGAAAAAATGATTTATGACCTCTCCTTTGCACTTATGATCATTACACCACACTTGAGGTCATATAATCACAATTTGGGTGCTTGGTAACTGGCTTGTATTTACAACCATTTTCAGCATCCCATGGTCATGTGATGATGATTTGCAACTTTCTCAGCTGGCTTCTGACAAGTTGCATCAATTGGGGAAGCTGGATTCACTTAATAGCCACATGATTTGCTTAATATCCATGGTAAAAATGATTGTAAAATCAGGTCCAGTTGACTTCACTGATTTACTGAACTGCATTGCTTAGCAACCAAAATTCCAATCCCAATTGTAGTTGTAAATTGAGGATTACCTGTAGTCATCTAATGCTATGCAATTAGGTCTGCCTAACAGCAAATTCCCAAAATCTCATCAAGGGAAGTCCCATTAATTACTGTCTGAAACATGAAGGCTACATCTTCTGTACATTAACTAGTGCTCTGCTCCTAAATATTGTTTGGGTTTGTGGAAAGACAACTTTGATCTTTTAAGAAATTACAACTGGTATTAAACTACCAGTTTAATCTGCTTGACCTAAGAAACATGAGTTGCACACTGCAAGCCATAATGTGCTTTGCCTCTTGCCACATGTTTTGCATCTTTGTGGTATCCCTGGCAATGGCTATTCCCTTACAAGTGCAGGGTTGCAATACTGCACAGGTGTTTTGCAGAATTACCTAGTGACTCAATTTTCATGGGAGAAAGTGAAGAAGTGAATTTTATTTAATAAAAAATTAAGTTATAAAAATCAAGTATTATCCTCCATCCCTTTGTTTAAATCCATGGCCCTTTTAAAGGATGTCAAGGTTGGATCTCACTGCCTTCCCCAGTGAGTGCTGGAGGAAGTAAAACCCTTATTTTGTTCTCCATAACTCCAGTCAAAATGCAAAGCATCAAGCTCATACATTTACATTGCCGCATTCAGTTTATTTGTTGTACCAGCTACAAAATTGTTTGAGATGCCTGTTGTTTTTCTGTGTGCAAAATGGAGAAAAAGAAGATTTCATCAGAGGATAACAGTACTAGTTTTAAAAAGAAGAGGCTTGTTATTATATTAAAGCAAAAATTGGATGTAATTGAACAACATGAATGTGGTCCTAGCAATGCTACAATAGGACTCAACGTTGAAATAGCTGAATCTATAGTGGAATTTGTTTTTACTTTGCTTTCTAAAACTACTCTGTGATTTTGTTAACCATACATTAAATTAAAAGTATATATTTTTTATCCTTTATGGTAATATACCCATAAAATTGTTTTTTTTTAAATCAGTATTACTATTGTGCTGTAATCAAATACCATATTTTCCATAAAAATATCACTTCAGATATTTCACAAACTGAAATAATGCGACCATTTTGTGGGATTCATTAACTGCACTGAGACCTACCTATATTTTTAAAGGTTGAATGGAACACTGAATGCAATAGTTTTTGGACTGATAGACAGTCTGAGAGCCATCTGGTATTTTGTGATTGACAGGAGTTATCAGCTTTTTATATGCCTTCTTTACTTAGCTACATTATTTGCTTTTGTTTTCAGTTCCAACAAAACATGCCAGAACATCCATTGTCTGGAAATTAGGATCTCTCTACTTTTACTGGCCACCTGGGCTGGAACAAGAAACTTTGCTACATGAAGCAAAGGTCAAGGAAATGATCTTTTTCTAACTCATGTTGAATAGCTGGTATCAAGACAGCATCCTCCATTATGTTTTATAGGAACAAACTAACTTAGGGGATGAAAAGCAGGTCATATAAATCAGATGTGTCACTTTCTTGCCGCTCCCTATGTTCAAATATCCATCTGATCTAATAATGAATCTAGCACAGTTCATAACATGGGACTGTCTGTCCCATTTAATTCAGGGTAGTTACACCCATGGAAACTGCTATGATCAGTCTTCTTTCCCACAATCCACTCATGTACACTCATTTTGTAAATTTCCATACGAAAGTTTCATAGACCGGATGTGATTGCAGGCACCTATTTGCTCAGGGTATAAAGTCCAAAACACTTTGTGTTACTGTCTAGCTACGGTGTAGTATAGGACAAGCCAGCAAAAGTGTAGATGATTAGGACTCTGAATTTGAGGCAAGATGAGGCATTGATATTTTGTCATCTTTGACTTCCTCTTAGAGGTAAGAATATGTTCCATTCCTACCCAAGATAATACTTATAATTTTATCATTTATAGAATTTTAGATCCCCCCCTCCTTTCCAATGGAAATAAGATAGATGAGTGTGAAGGATCGTTATCCAAGCTTGTGGGTTGGTTTCTGAATGTTTCATTACCAGGCTAGATAACATCTTCAACGAGATTTTAGAGGATGTCAGTGTTAAATGTTCTTCTGTTGGATTCACTGAACTTCATTGGTTTAGCAACCAAAATTCCAATCCCAATTGTGGTTGTAAACCACAACCTAAACTCCGCTGAAGATATTATCTAGTCTTGGTAAGTAAACATTTGGAAACCAGCCACAAGCTTAAGAGAACGAACCTTCAACCTCATCCTACACCCAAGCTACAGATATGCGCCACTATTGGAAATAGAATTGTATCAGCTTCCTGGAAAACGTCTCAAAGCTTTCACAAAATGAGGATGTATATTAAATACAGTATATCCTGATTTCAAATAAAATATATTTTTATTTACCAAGCACAACTCTGTGACAACAAGAAGATAATTAAAATGTAATTCGGATGTGGTGCTGTGTGTCCCAACAGCAGATTAACTGTGCTGTAGAAAGAAAGATTATTCAGCTAGTAATTAGGATGGAAGGCCTGGAGAAAAAATGTAATAAATGTGACTACATTTTATTATTGTCTACAAGAAGGCTAAAGCAAACCCACCATTTTATTACGCAAGGTGAAATTCAGGTTCTGCTAGGCATCCTGTCTACTTTCCCTGGACTTACAGTTACAATATGGCACAACCATTCTGTAACACAAAGGTCACAAAATACAGGTGAGATAAAATAGCTGCCTTCAAAGGCTAGCTAGTCCAACATTATCTTAGTCGGTGGGCTAATTTGAGGGAAGATGTCTATTGGTGATTTGGACTGTGGGAGTATCATTAAACTCACTAAGGGTTCTGCGATCTAATGGTTCTTCTAGATGTGCTAGGACTGCAGAATTACCTTTGGTCTTACTAGTTTAAAATTCTGGTTATAGACTTAACATCTCCAAGGCAACTCAACTGGTTGGAAAAACCGGGAACAGGTTCTCAGGTTTAGAGTACTTCAATGAGTCATTGTTTTTTTATATTACATTTTGCAAACAAAGTCAACATAATAAGAGAAGCAGAATTCAAGGCTTGGTCTTTCAGTTGCATAGCTTTTAGCAATATTGAATAGATTTTAATTATCAAGCAGACTCTTTAGCTGGACCAGCCTTCCCCAGCTTGGGCACCCTTTAGTTGAATGGATTTTGAGTTTTATTGTTTCCAGACAACCCAGAAATTGCTGAGAATTCTGAAATCTGAGGTTCAGACATCTAGAAGGTAGTAGATGGAGGAAGACTAATGTATATAAAGATCACTAGAAAACATGCACCTTTTAGTATTATTGTTGCCTGGAACTGCCATATCCCAAGCCTACAAGCGATGCTTAAAAGGTAACCTTTTTTTATAGAGATCTGAGATTCCCATGTGTAACTGCAGCTTAACTTGTCTGCCTGTAAACAGTTTATATTAGCTAAGAAAGGCATCTTATAATGAACAAGAATGCTCTTGCCACCAACATTCAACTATATTTTTGACCTCTTCTGGACTTGTCCAGGTCTGAGAGCTAAACAGGATTAGAATTCGAGAATTACAGGTTGGCTCAGTGCCTTTCAATCTTGGCAATTTTAAGGTCTGTAGACCTCCACTCCTCAAATCTCCCAGAAGCTTGCTGGCTCGAAAATTCTGGGGACTGAATTCCACACTCCATAAAGTTGTCATGGTTGAGAAACACTGGGCTACAATAAAAAATGTAAGAAGTATCCTGGAAGGCATTGGCAATCCTCTACCATGTAATTATCAAGGGAACTACATGGCTACGTCATAAATTGACCTGATTCAGCAAGTTTACATAAGCTTTATATATGCATTCAAGTTAGGAGGAACCCACCTTCAGCCTAGCAATAAAATCTTCTGCCAAGCTTGACCTCTTTCTTCTGCTCAATAATAGCAAAGCACCTGTCATACTGTCAGGTGCACTTTCTAGTGAGCAATGCATCACTGAAATTGGTGGGCAGATTTGGCCAACAGGCTTTGCACCTATTGCAATGAAGAAATGTGTAACATCTTTGTGAAAAGGACCTCATCAAATGTAAAGTTAAATAAACCAGCAACATTACTCTTGTGCGACGCATTCAAATGTACCCTTTTCAGTCTGCGGCTACGTTGCAAAACATTTCTAATGGGTCATGAAGCTTAACCATTGGCAGATGAGCATCGGGCATCAACAATTGCTTGAAGCAAAAGTATTTATAAGAATCCATTAGGGGAAAAAAAGACCTGGTCCCATATCCAAATAAGCAACCATTTATAGATCATTTCGCCAAGGAAGACTACAGGTGGTCCTCAACTTACAACAGTTCATTTAGTGAGCGTTCAAAGTTCAACAGCACTGGAAAAAAGTGATGGCCATTTTTCACATTTAACGATCATTGCAGCATCCCCATGATCATGTGATCAAAACTCAGACCTTTGGCAATTGACTCATATTTATGATGGCTGCAGTGTCCTGAAGACATGTGATAACCTTTTGCAACCTTCTGACAAGCCAAGTCAATAGGGAGGCCAGATTCACTTAACCACCAGGTTACTAATTTAATAATTGCAGTGATTCACTTAACAACTGTGGCAAGATCATAAAATGGGGCAAAACTCAACATAAATTTTGGGTTTAATTGTCATAAGTTGAGGACTACCCGTACTTGTCATACAAGAGAATAAGCCCTCTTCCTTGATAAACATTCACTAACACAGGATTATCTTGGGGAAATGCAGGGGAGAGTGCTAGATACGCTTTGAACTCAACAAAATAAAATCTAAATAAATATACAATTAGTAGATAGGCTGCTGTGACAGAAGCAGCAATGTGTTTTTTTCCAGAACCAAAGGATTTCTCCTACTCTGGTGATTGTATCAATTCGGCATTTTAAAGTCTTCAAATTCCATGACGCCCTTAGCATTCACAGGATAATTGCAACCAGAAACATAGTTCAGATGCTACTGGATAGAGGCTCAGTTTGTCCATTAAAACCAGGCCACAATTAGCCCACATGAGCTATTGGGGCAATTTACGATCACCATACAGAAAGGAGATGTGGTTTAAATTAAAGATCTCTATTTAAAGTCAGGGGCCTCCAGCATAGCAGCATTTGCAGAATAGATTTCCAAATTAAAAATACAGCAAAATCCTGGCCTGGGAATATATATCTGAAATAAAATGTTTATGTTTCAGGAACTAAAACAAAGCAGCCTCCCAAAAGCTATTGATTGCAACTGCCAGCATCCTTCCCTGTTGGCCAAAGAGACTAGGATTGGTGGGAGTTGGAATTTAAAAGCTGTATGTATTGCCTATCACCGATCCAGTTGATTTCCTATACTATGATTGACTAAAGCTGCGTCAGGTAGATCCCAAAGTTCCTTGCTAGAGTCATTTGGAAGATTACTTTAAGACTTTGACCCACAGCTAGAACAATAGGAACCAACCCCAAAGGCAGGGGGGCGGGGTATGAGGAAAAGGAATCAAATTCGAAGTTTTGTAAAATCATTGGGACAGCAGAAGAGAGGTGATGGCAAAGAAGAAAGCCCTTTGAATAAGACGGTTAATCTGTATTATATTTTCATTAATAAATAAGTTCTCTTTTAATAACACTGAACATTTCACAGATCTCCCCCCCCTCAATATTTCCTTTCTTTCCACACATATACACAAGATCAATAGGTCATTCTCTCCTCCCACCCCCCAGCTTTATCTCCACAAGGAAGGATGTCTGGGCACCTGTATCCTAGATAGAGGGGTCAGCATAGAGGGAGAAAGGAGAGATGCTTGCACTCAGTCCGCATCCAACAGGCAATTGACAATCAGCAGATGGATGTGATGACCTAGGGCCAAAGGAAGATATTAACTGTGCAGTGGCAAGGCGGGATACTGGTGGTGATTTTTTTCCTCCCAGTTCCTTCAAATATGCACAATAGTCACCAGAGCTGCTACCGTCCAAGATGTGGCTGTGCCAAGCCCCAAGACTTACAGAGCAGGCAAGTCTTGCACCCATCTTCATTCGAGCCGTCCAGCCATGTTTTGCCGTTTCCCTCTCCTCCCTCGATAGCAGGAAGAGAGGGAAACTGGATCCTTCTGAACTTTCCAGCTCTGGCTCGGAGGAGCCAAGCCATTCCATGAATCCCACCCTGGAGGGGCCACCTGGAGACCCAGAGTCCACAGCGGTTCCATCACCCCCCTCTGCAGCCAGCTCTTCACATGACAGAACAACTTTTTGCTTTCTCCTTCTTAAAAGTAGAAGAAATGAGCTCTGATCGGCTGGGAAGGCGGAGAAGTCTCTTGGGAAAACTTCGGGTGGGGCTCTTGGGGGGCCCTGGGAGGCCAGGCTTGGTGAGACAGAGGGACGCCACTGTCCGGAAGATGCTGTGGACGCTCTTCTCTGATGTGAAGGCGGAGCATTCCAGGTAACTTTCTGCTCCCAGCTGCTTGGCTACAGAACAACCCTGGAAAGGAAAGTAGGCGTTAGGACTCCTTTTAGGGCTTTTGCCAGATGAACACCAGACTCATGGTAGGGTCTTCAGGGGCCGTAGAGGAATAAGGGATTCCCCATGAGGACTTGACTATTATCCTCATCCTTCAGGAGCTGACCAAGTAAAATGACCTTTCACTTTCTATGAAAGAGCACTTTTCTCACTCAGTCGGGGATCTTTTCAAGTTCCTTTCACATAGGAGAGAACAGTAGCCACCAACACTGATGCAATACAGCTTAGAATAGAAATCAGTCATCTAGTGTCCTCCAGAATTTTAGACTAGAGTTCTTATAATAGCAATAGACTTGTATATACCGCTTCATAGAGCTTTACAGCCCTCTTTAAGCGATTTACAGCAGTGCCCCCTCCCCCAACCATTTGGGCACCAGGGACTGGTTCCGTGGAGAGAGGTTTTTCCCCTGGACCGGAGGGGGAGTAGTTTCGCATGCTGCCTGCATCCCGCAGATGGGACTTTGCTTGTTTATGCGCTCCAGTTTCTGACATGCCATGGCCCAGTGCCACTCCACAGACCAGAAGTTGGAAACCCCTGGTTTACAGAGTCAGCATATTTCCCCCAACAATCTGGGTCCTCATTTTACCGACCTTGGAAGGATGGAAAGCTGAGTCAACTTAGAGCCAGCCAATGAGCAGATTTAGCCTGCAATACTGCATTCTAACCACCACGGCTCTTCGTTTTCACTTTTCCTTGATTAATCTTAGTAGAACTACCAGTCCAAACCATTTAGAGTATACCAGGTTTCTGCCTGTGGCCTAGAATCATCATCCCTGGATTAACTTTATGGATTTAGGTTTATCTGGCCACCCATCTCAAGTACATGGCTTTGATAACAGGATGTTTTTGCAGGAATTGGCTGTGATCCAGCAGAGATTTTATATTCTTATAGAAATAATGCTTCATTGTAGGCATTTCCAATAACACAGCAATATTTGAAGGTGAAAGATGACAAGCTCATTAGCATATGCAAGTCTTAAGTCTAGCATTCCCGATACTATTTTAGTCATCTTGGGAAAAGGAAAAAAAAAAAGGGAAACTAGAACAAGTTTGAAAATGAGGAAGCCTGATACTCCAGGAAGGGTCCGGGTTGAAAGAAAGAATTGCAATAGATATCCAGACCAGCACCAACATCCTGCATTGCCTCACCTGTTCGTAAGAGACGGGGGCTTGCTTTTGGTGAGACAACTCCATCAGGGTGCTGAAGTCAGTACGCAGGTCTATCTTGCATCCTATCAGCAGCACACGGGTATTGTGACAATAGTCCAAGATTTCAGTCTTCCACTGGAAAGAAAAAGCACAGTGAAAGAAACATTCAAGTCATTTAATACAAGTCTGGAAAGCACATCTTGGTAGAGAAACTGCCCTGCTCTGCCACTGCAATGCCCTGCTATCCAGGCCCAGTTTTTTAAAAAATACATCACAAAGCAAAGTAATTAAACAATTGGTGCCACTATTTCCCTTTTTTGCCACAATGAATGCAGGGTTTTAAAAATATCAAATGTCCCGATGTGAAATATGAAGGTCCTTTCAAATGTACACAGAAGAAATCACTACAGTTTCCTTGATCTCAACAGTTCTAATTCTGAGCCGAGTTGCACTGAATACAAACCCATTCTTCTAAAATTAGGGAAATTGATTATTTAAAGAGGAAAATATGTTATTTGGATATCACTTCTGGAATTTGTGCTTGTGAAGAAAAAAAATGAAACTTTGATCTTGGTTTTGTTGATTAGAAAGATTTGGTGTTATAGAAATGGCTAGTTATATATTAATGTGTAAAAGCAAAAAGTTCAGGTTGGAGTGTTTATCTTGTACTGTGCTAGGAAGAGTTGGAAGTCAATGCCCCCTTTTCTTTCTTTTTCTCTTCCTCTTTGTATCTCACACCCCCTTTTCCCCATTCCCTTTCCCTCCCTTAATTTCCTATTTTCTTTTTTTTTTTTTTGCATTTTATATAATAAAATAAAAATGATAAAATTAGGGAGAGAGACGTATGGGTTGACATTTTTCACAAATGCAGTATATGGTTGAAAGTACCTAGGAAGGAAACCTCTGGAGTCTGAAACTTAGTTGTGATCTTGATTACGGTGGTGCACATTAAAAAAAAAAGTGTAGAATTTCCTTCTCACAAAATACAACAAGAAGTTCTTCCTACAATCCTTTCAGAGGCCTAATGTGATTTGATTGCTTATTTATTCCCTATGACTATCATTAAGTATTGTAAGTGTTGTACTTTATGATTCTTGACAAATGTATCTTTTCTTTCATGTACTCTGAGAGCGTATGCACCAAGACAAATTCCTTGTGTGTCCAATCACACTTGGCCAATCAAGAATTCTATTCTATAAAAGTTCCAGAATATTCAAAATGCTTGCTACAACAATGAAATTCATTTTGTGGCAAAAAAGCAAAATGATGTCATACAAAGTGAGTAATTATATGAACTATATTTAAAAGTACTGTATGCAAATTACGTTTAAAGTAGGGTTTTAAAACTGCAGCTATTTCTTTGTTCCATCCTACTTTTAGCGATGTTAGCTTCTCTCTCCTCAGCCCCCCAAAGTCACTAATATTTCCTTATAAGGAGAGTCCTCTTTTTCCCTTTAAAGAGTAACATCCTCAAAGCTTTAGATCAAGTCAAGTCCCAGTAGGCAGGACAACGGGATCCTCTGGGCAGGTCACACCTTCCTTACCTTCTTCATTGCACTATCCATGGTCTCGGGGCGACTGACATCAAAACAGAGCAGGACAGCATCTGAGTCACTGTAGCATAGGGGGCGCACGTTGTCATAATATGGGGATCCTACGAGAAGCAGTGAGAAAAGCTATGAAGCGACTCAACGCATCCTCTATTCCCCTTTGCCAATATCGTTGAGGGGGGAAAAAAAGTTGCTTGCTCTAATGCCAGATGATAAAACTGCCCACTGCTAGGATTAGATGCACTTCCAGGTTTTGTGCTTTTAACACCCCCTCTTCCCCCCAAGGAATAACATTTATTTATTTATTTTATTTTATTCAATTTGTATACCGCCCTTCTCCTAATGGACTCAGGGCGGTGCACAGCCAAAACTAAAACACAAAGCAATACAAAATTTAAAATTTTGAAAAGAATTTCATAACTTTGGCCCCAAAATTTAAAACATTCAAACTAAAACCCATTGATAATTTAAAAAACTAAAAAAGCTAGAAAAGGGGGGGGGGGGTTCACGCCAGCCCTGCTTGATGGAAAAGAAAAGTTTTTAGGGCATGGCGAAAGACCCGGAGATCCGATGTCCTTCGTATCTCTGGGGGCAAATCGTTCCAGAGGGCAGGAGCTGCCACAGAGAAGGCCCTCCCCCTGGGGGTCGCCAGCCGACATTGCCTGGCTGACGGCACCCTGAGGAGTCCCTCTCTGTGGGAGCGTACTGGTCGGTGGGAGGCTATTGGCAGCAGAAGGCGGTCCCGCAAATACCCAGGTCCTATCCAACATGAAAAAGTAACAGGAATCAGAAATCTGCAGGGCTTTGCTTACTCACTCCCATCCTTAATATCCTCAGGAAATAGTTCAACTTTGGTTTTACATTACAAAGGCCATTTCCTCTTTCACACCTGACATGTAAGCAATACTGAATATGAAAAAGGGGTACAGGCTTTTCCATTTAGAGATTTACAGGGTATGCAGCTTAGAGGGAAGAATGGAGTTGCCTAGTAACATTTTTCATTAAACATGGAGAAAAATGAGTTGTGTGGGTTCTACGCATGCCATACATGGAGGAACAGAGAATGGACTATGGCAAAGTACTGTTGGTTGGCTGCAAAGTGAGGGAGAGATGAATAATATACACAGGCTATTCTCTCTCCTCCCCCCCCCCCAGGAACCGCAGCATCCAAAATGTTTCTGCAGCCCAGACACTTCGTGCCTAGAATAGCAATCAGCCCCTGGTTCCCTGCACCAGCACAATCACCATGGCAACAAGGGGATCCAAATAGCCAGGGTCCCCCACTTACAGTCCCCTTCAAAAGAGGGGATGATGCCCATCCCTAGTTGCTAGGAGAACTCTCTACTTGGCACCTCCTCCATCACACATACAATACTTTCAAGAGCCCCCTTATTGTAAAGGGCTGCTTTCCCTTCTTGATTTCTCTTGCAGAATGCACTGAACCCCTTTGCGCCGGGATTCTTCCTCAATGTGTGTGAAAAATGGGCAAATCACAGACACACACACACACACCACATTCCAGGAGAAAAAAAACGAAGGGATGGAGGAAATATATGGGAGGCGGCTCAACAGCCTTCATAGGATTTATCAGAAGGACTGGGGAAAAAACAGGTGCGAGCAGCATGAGGGGTGGGACTGCTGCAGTTTTACTTAAAGCCTGGGATACCAGAGCATCTTATTTAAGGAGCTAGAGAAAGTCTCTAGCCCAGGTTTGAAATCTCAAAATAGATAGATGTTTAGAGTCACTTCCCTTTAAGGATTCTGAGGTGGTATTTGGTCAAGATGCAAGCCCTAACATCTTACTCTTACCAATCTCTTCTAGTTCCCCCATCATACCCACACCCCAAAATAAATCCTTGAGATATTTGTTTCTGCATATAAATAAATGCAAAAATGTCTCCTTCCAGTCCAAGACTGCAACACTACCATACGCAAACGCATTACCCTTTCTTTGTGCTAAAGCTAGACGTTCTGACTTGCCTCAAAAACTACCTCTAAGCCAGGCCGTGTATTGTTCCTTCCTAGGTTATGACAAAAAAAGCACCTTCGTGCATTTCTACCAGCAGTGTAGTCTTTGCGACCTCAAAACTAAACAGACTAAAAAGTCTTCTGCCTCCCCCTAACCTCCATTAGAAAGAGACAGGATCTCCTTCTCATTTCATACACCAGGCACTAATCTGTAGCAAAGGATTTTCAGGATTGCTCTCCTTTAGCCAGCTAATAGGTCCTACACAAGGCTAGCCCTTCAACTCAGACCACTCCATTGCAGCATAAGGAGAGGATGTGGGTCGGTCCAGAGCAGCAGCAGGCAAGCACAGAAGGAAAGAGGTGCCCTTACCAGATGTGTCCCACAGGCTGAGCTCCACCCGTTGCTCCTCCGTTTCCAGGCATGCTGTGTAGTTCTCAAAAACAGTGGGCACGTAGGTCTAGGATAAAGGGAAGGTTGAGAAGAGTCACCCGGTGAACACAGCAAGTCTTTATGTTGCATATGTTGCTACAAGAAGGAGGCTACATTTGTAATGTATACGAGCAGAAATGGAGATTGGGGGTGGAGGAGGGGGGTCAATTCCTGCGCAGGACTTGCACACAGCCCCAAATCGTAATTACCATCAAGCAAGCATCAGAGATGACCAGTGAATACATCTGCAACTCAAGCCGCTTGCAGGAAAGGGAGAGAGGGAGGGAAGGAAATACCGACAGGCTGCAAACCGATGAAACGGCAGCAGCCCGCAACCGCCTCCCCCCCCCCCCCCCCCGAAGCAACCAACACAGACCCTTCGCGCGCAAAGTACTCCAGGAAAGCTACGAGGGGCGCAGAGGCGGAAACCGATGCTTTGCAAGAGGACCAGGGCTTAGATAAGACAGAGCCGAGCCCCCCCAAAAAAGGGCCGGGAGCCCACGTGATTGCCATTCCAGCGAAGTGGATCTCCCGGCTGGAGGGAAAGCCGCATGGGCAGGAAGGAAGCCCATCCGAGGTATCCCGCATGAGGGACGCATCCAATTCCCCGCGAAACGCCAAGGGAGGCAAAAGAGAGCGCGGATACCCAAAGCCGCCGGGAAGCTTTTCGCCCTACCCGCAATCGCAAAGAGGATGCCCCCCTCTCGGCTGTTCCTCTTACCTCCGGGTAGCAGTCTTTGGCCAGCACCTGAAGCATGGCCGTCTTGCCGCAATGCACATCCCCCACCAGAACCAACTTGCACCGGGCCACTACTGGCTGAGGAGTCCTTCTCTCCCTCATGGCGCTGGTAAATGAAGCGGACGGCGGCGGTGGCGGCGGCAACAGCTACAACACCGGCGTTCGCGACTTGCAGCAAAATCCCAGCAGTCCCACCCGCCGGCTAAATTAATACAGCGGGCGGGGCAGAGAGTCCTTATAGGGAATGTGGGGAGCCAATGAAACGTAGAGTTGGCTACCTATCAGCCAATCAGAAAAAGCTGGCCCATTGACCAGCACTTGGGAGGGGGAAGTTGAGTCAGAGGGTTTTCCCCCCCACACACACACACACCTCCGTTGTTACCTGGTCGGGTCATTTTTCGCCACGGGAGTCAATCATCAGCCAAGAGACGATTTATCACCCACGCTGATAAGGGTTTCCCCGTATTTGTTTTTCCAGAGTACGCAGAATTAGAGTCGTCCCTCCGTCCGTGATAAAATAGGTCGATTCTTTCAATAAAGCAATGAGTGACTAAGACTTCTTCCCGCACCCTCCTCCGCCGGCCGCGGCAGGAGGAGGAAGGTGCATTGACAAACCTTTCAGAAACTCCTGGACGGATAACAGGCTCTTCGACGTACTCCTGAGCCTGCCCTCGGGTTTTCGCGTGATCCATTACTAAAGAGCAGTGGGTGTGTATGTGTGTGTTTCGTTTTCTGGCAGGCCAAAGGCAGCCATTCGGATGGTCTGCAGCTCGTGGCCCCCCCCAAGTAAGGTAAGGCGTGGGAGAAGGACTACCTGCCCTGTTCTTGGGGTCCCGGAGGCTGCCCTAGGGCCGCCGAGAGGATTATTAAGTGTTGGAACAAGACTAATATGGGGCCCCTCACCTACACGTGGACACATAAGTCAATAATGTCATAATTGTACATATATTAATTACATTCAAACATACTTGCAAATATATTAAAAAGAGGACAGGTACTTCTGTAAGAGATAATAAAAAACAATAATACACAGTATATAAACAATAATGAAACTATATACATAATTGAATTTAATACTTGATTGATTACAAGCTCATAACATTATTATGCCCCCCCCCCCTTACACACAGGGGCTTTTGACTAGTCAAGACTTTCCCACTCTGCCAAAGTGACTCCCATCTCCCAATTTATTTTCAAATTAGGCCAGATCTGGCAGCAGATCTCCCAAGTTATTAGGACTGGGAAGGATGACAAGGTAATTTTGCTGGGGGGTGGGAGTGGGGGCAGAAGAGCAGCTCTTTAAGCACCAGGTCTCCAATCCAGAGATCTTCCACAATTGGAGAACGATTGGGGGAAGGGAAGTGGGAGAGAAGCCACTTGTTAGTGCCACCTTCCAGGGTGCAACTGCTTCCTGTTTGGGTGAGGCCATTTTTGACATGCAGAGAGGAGAGCGGAATATCTGTGTCACCGTCCAGGGTGCAACTGCTTCCTGCTCCAAAGGTTTGGGTGAGGCCATTATTTATTTATATATATATATATATATATATTTCTATACCACCTTTCTCCCGTAGGACTCAAGGCGGTGTACAGTCAAGAAAAATATAGACACACAAACATCATAAAATTGCTAATTAAAATTATTACTTAGTTTGGTCAATTAAATAAAGCACAGAATTTTGACATGTGACCAGTGAGGAGAGCTGAATATCTGTTTCGCTATGTGTTCAATGTTCTTCAACCCAACTGACACCCAAAATGCATGCTTTTTCTCCATTCTTCCCCTCTCTTGCACATGCTGGCAAGAGAAGTGGGGAAGTCAGGTCTCCTCTCTCCTTGCAGCTGTTCCCATGGCTAACAGGGAAGAGAGATGCACTAAAGGAAAGATCCTTTGGTGCCAGCTCTCTGATCCCATAGAGTAGCGGTCACCAACTGGTGATCTGTGGACCACTGGCAGTACACGAGAAAATTTTGGTGGACCGCAGAAGAATTATTTTCATTTTTTTATATTGCACTAAATCAGCGGTCCTCAAACTACGGCCCCTGAGCTGGATACATGCAATGAATGTTTGTGTTGCTGCAGAGAGTCTCCCCCTTCGGGGTCTTTTTGTGTGGGTTGGGGGTGCAGAAATTCTGACTTGGGGTCTGCTTCAGCCTCCTGGTGCGGGGCTTTGGACAAAGGCTGGAGGGAAGTGCCGCTGGTGGCAAGGAGCTGGAGGGCCTTGTTCCAGTGGGACTGCATCATGGTCTGGAACTGGCTGACCATCTCAGCCTGCTGAGTCTCCAGACGCTGGTACCTAGCCTTGCACTTCCGCAGGTCTTCCCTATGCTTGGAAAGCCTATGCTCGTAGTCCTCAGTAAGGTGCTTCTGCTGAGCCTCCTTCTTGGCCAGATCCAATTTGAACTGAGCCAGCTGTTATGCCAATTCTTTCTCGTGGTGGCTGCTTAACTCCAACAACTGCTTCCTGTTGGGGCCCTAAGGAGCCCGGGTGGGGAGGCGAGGAGTGGCTGGGAGGGGAGAGGGGAGTAGAGGCTGGCAAGGCACCCCTTGACGTGAGTGACATCGAGTTGGCCAAGCCCACCCAGTCACATGACCACCTAGCCACGCCCACCCAGCTGGCCACTAGTGTTGTGACCAAGGCCCAAGTAGTGATTACCAAACACAATTCAGTCTTCAACAAACTTATTTTATTAAAACAGCTGAGAATTAATTCATTCTCAGCTTAGTCCAAAACAAAATTCTTAATAACCAGTCCGTCGGCCTTATCACCAACCTTTGATGTCTTTGGCAACCTGCCAAAGGCTTTTCTTGGCAAAAACCCCACAAAGTTCAAGAGACGCTGACAAGAAGCAGGGGAATCAACGTTCCTTTTCTACAAACAACCCAACGGCTCGTTTCTTCTCTTTTAAGCCTTACGGGAGTGACCAATCATCTTCTGGCCTTATTCCCGAGTTGTCCTTTTTTGTTCAACTGCTCTTGCCTTCTGGCAGCTCTTCGCATGCGGGCACTAGGAACAGGCTCCTCCTCTGCCTCTCTGCTGTCTGCCTTTGGAGGCTCTGGAGTCAGCATATTGCTACCAGATGGCCCTGGCCCCAACTCTGCCTCCGACGCAGAGCCCTCATCCAGGCCTTCCCCTGACTCCAGGACTGGCCCATTGTCCTCCCCAACCTCCTCACTGTCTGACTCCACTGCCAGGTCCACAGGCTGCTGGCAGATCACAACAACTAGGCAGATCATTTTAGTGGTCCGTGGGATTTAAAATTATGAATTTAGTGGTCCCTGAGGTCCGAAAGGTTGGGGACCCCTGCCATAGAGCAGTGCTTTTCAAATGGGGAATTCTGGGACTTGAATACAGCTTAAAGTGGCCAAGTTTGAAAAACAGTGCCATAGACATAGAGTGATGCTAAGGAGAGTTAGAGAACTGTCAGCTGAAGATCCATGCTGGCAGAGAAGGCTTTCTTCATCCCACTTCTCTTCTCAGGTTCATACGAACAGAACCCCTTGTTCTGCTTCAGGGGTGTTAAACTCGCAGCCTGAGGGCCGGATGCATCATGCGCTGGCCATGTCCAGTTTAGCGAAGGGGGAAAAAAGTTGCAATATGTCATGTGACAATGCTGTGACGATGCGAGTTTGATACTCCTGTTCTACTTCATTGCTAAAATAGAATAAGAGTTAGCAGTCAACCCAGAAGAGCTTGCATTCCTTCCAGCTTCCATACTGGAGAATAGTACTTCGATGCTATTGTGCAAAAGAGTCCTAACTTTGTTGGGCCAGTGACCGAGTATTGTTTTTCTTTCAGGGGTCCTACGTTAGAGGAAATGTGGAGGCATCTATATACAGTTTTTACCTACAAAACCAGGCTGCATCAATGGTGAAATCCCCCCCCCGGTTCTATCCGGTTCGCCAAACCGGTAGCACCAGCGGCGTGAGGCTCCACCCACCTGCCGGGATGTCATTACCAGGGGTGAAATCCAGCAGGTTCTCACAGGTTCTGGAGAACCGGTAGCGGAAATTTTGAGTAGTTCGGAGAACCGGCAAATACCACCTCTGGCTGGCCCCAGAGTGGGGTGGGAATGGAGATTTTGCAATATCCTTCCCCTACCACGCCCACCAAGCCATGCCCACAGAACCGGTAGGGAAAAATTTTGGATTTCAACCTGGTCATTACATCCTGTTTTTTACCATCTGTGCATACGCAGAAGGTTCTGCATATGTGCAGGAGAGGTGCGCATGCGCATAGCGCCTCCACGCTCCCGTTCCTGAACCGGTAGTGAAAGTAAGTGGATTTCATCGCTAGCCTGCATGAGTATGTGTGCAGTCATGTGATTCAAGTCTGCAGTGGAATCTGCTTGTGTAAAATGTCAGGTGTTCATAAATTCAGAAAGGGGCACGTAAACTTTTCAGCATTGATATTTGAAATATAACCCTGAGAGCAGGTTGTATTAAATGTTTCGAGAGCTGAGATTGAAAAGAAGATTTATAAGTATTAATTATTAAAAATAATACAGGTTATCCTCATTTAGTGGCTACAATTGGGACATTTAAGTGAAACAATGGCTGTGGCTTGTGATCCTACTTCAGCTTTCCTTTGCCTTAGAGACCTGCTGAGATTGTAAAAATTAGGATTGGTCATAAAAATTACTTTTTCATCACTGTCATAATTTTGAACAGTTTGCTACATGAGGCATTCACTAAAAGAGACAGTTGTTAAATGAGGCACTTGCTAAATGGGGACTACCTGTAATTATCCCAAGTCCCACTAATAACCTATTATGTACTCAAGTCAGCAGTGGCTCTTCCAGTTTACAGTCAGAGGTCTCTTGTCTTGGGGCTTTCCTTAGGCCTGAGTTAAGTGCTCCTTCTCCCCAGTCCACAGGGAACTATCCTAGCTTGTAACATGCCATCCTCATCACATGCCTCTTCTGCCTGCATTCTCAATCACGGTGGTTCCCTGACTTCTGGAATGGATGACGAAGTCTAACAGGTATTCCACACCTTGAGGCTAGTCTTAGATGGTGTCAGAAAAACACTATTTCAGCACTGGAACAGCCAAGAATTATCTAAGCTTATCTAACTCTGGGGATGGGGTTAGGGCAGTGGTGGGTTGCCCCCGGTTCGGACCGGTTTGCAAGAACTGGTAGTAAAACCGGCGGGAGGCTCCGCCCACTGACCTGGACATTATCGGGAAGCTTCT